CAAAGTTCTTTGGATTGCATCCTTAGAGATTTGTATTCAGGATACTACAGTTCGTTCGATGTGTCCACCTGTGAGTTGTTTGATATCTTTCCAAAGTTCTTTGGATTGCATCCTTAGAGATTTGTATTCAAGATGCTACAGTTCGTTCGATGTGTCCACCTGTGAGTTGCTTGATATATTTCCAAAGTTCTTTGGACTGCATCTTTAGAAACTTATATTCAAGATCTAACCACAGAAACTTTCCCTCGGTTCTTTTGACATCTTCTATTTTCTTCAAATATTTTCAACTGCAATAATTCATACTGCATAACCTCAAAACTTTAACCTGAAATACATAAAACTGTAATAAGTGCATGCTGCTATGTGAAAAAAAAAATACTGAACCATATGTACTTGCAGTGAAACACTAAATTGAAGTTTCTTTGAATATTTTGATTTAACTGGCGGGAAATTAAATAACACAGCAATTCCATTTCTTTTATGGATATTTTAGTATAATTAGACCTTTATATGTTAAAATATGACTGAATGTTTAGTTATTTAACGTTTTCTAAAGTTTAAACTACTTAGTAAGTTCGTAAATTTATTTAGTTTGATAGCGCTGTTATATTAGCTACCAAATAGTTAGGGTTTGAATTTAGAATTTAGGAAAACCTGATTCACTGTGTATTACATGCTAAGACAGTCAACCCTTCTTTTTCAAACATTACACTATACCACTGGCTGTTGATAGTGTAAAATTACATCATTGTGTACGTGACAACTCTGCTTCTTTACACGTTACATAACAGCACAAGGCAAGGTCATATCTAAGCTTGGAAGCAAAAGTACTGCTAACATTGTGGTAAAACGTCATTGTTACCGTTACGGGCAAGAAAGTACACCCAAAGTGAAAAACTTGTGTACGAGTCTGCAAGGTGTTGGCATTGTAAAAATTACGTTATAATGTACGTGGCACCATTGTTCCATGAGGTGTCGACATTGTAAAAATTTACATTATAAGTGTAGACGAAAAGATATGAGAAGAATATAACAAATTAATGGTAACTTAATAATTCGTTCTCAATATTCAATGTAATATGGCTGCTTTGTGCTTTTTAAAATGTGTTATTCTTACCAAAATTTTCCTTTAGGGCAAAAATTTATATAAGTAATATGTAAGACAATTGATTCTTAGAATATGTTTAATTCCCAATTTTATAGATAAATTCAGATAACTGTATAAATAAGCAAGAAGATCATTACTATTGTGACTAACTTATCGCAAATGTTAATCGCAATTGGCGTTTTAATCAACTTAAGTAGCGTAATTTAGTTTTTATCCAGATATCAGATATTTTGAAGTTTTATTTATCCAAATAAATATAACATGGATCGTTACACTACAATCAATTTTTAATTTTAATTTACTAAATGTTAAGCCTATTTCTTGTGAATTTATTATTTTAACTTGTCACACTAAGGTAACACCAGAAGGTCTAACTATGGAAGAAGCCAACGAAGAACTCCATAACCGTTTGTCCGAGAGCAAAACTAAGCCTAATGAAGTAGACGTTGAATCTATGCCAAGTCCTGACGCGACAAAAACCGAATCTAAAGACGAGCTTTGAAATTTAACCTGAGAGAATAATGACAGATTTGGTTTTCCACTACAGACTTTAATGTTATTTGTACAGTATGGTAATAGTAATAATAAAATGTTCAACCTTTTCTTCTACCCGCTATTCATTTGAACGAAAAATGTTTATTGGTAGAAAACTGTTTAATTAACGTGCTAATTAACGTGACAGGATACAGTATTTAGACAGCACTGGCAAAATACTTATTAAAGTGAATATTTTTAGAGTCTTACCACCCCTGAAACCTGATGCAAAGAAGAATTACCAATCATTTTACCACTTCAACACCCAAAATAGTTCCAAATGAAATTACTTTTACATTTATACCACTTCAAAAAATCTGATTTAGATAAATACTCATAAAGTTTTTAAATTGAAATACACGAGATACACGAAATATGTCACAAATGTTACCATTGGTTTCCAATAAAAACATCTCAAAGACTGCACCGTCTTATTGTAATTAATATACAAATAGTGGAAACCATCTCAGTGGTGAACTCAATTTGCAACTCACTTTTAAATGAAAAACACTTGGTTACAGACTGTTTGAAATAAAAGTGCTGTTGTGTGATACAGAAACTGATGACAGTGGTTCCCCGCGGACTCTAGAAGGTGTGAGAAATTTAATCAGTGTTTAAGTCCACGATAATTTGTCTCAATTCACGAAAACAAATCAACTGGCTTTGTTAAGTAAAGATAACAAATGTGTGTTTCGTACTGAATGAAATTGTGTATCAGATAGAATGACAGAAGTCAAAAAACAGATTTGTCTACAAGAACACGTGAAGCGTTTACATCATTTAAAATTCGAAATGAAGAATTTGATTTGTTGCTAGGATGATATTATTTCTCAGCAAAAACTGATGGGGAGAAAACAACGAATCTTTCCAACGACAATAAATTAAGTGTATTGAGGAACTGATTACTTCCATTATATCTGATAGTATGGCGAAGTTCTACCTCTCAGTGTATACGCATATACATTGATTTGTTTGTGTAATTAAGTAATGCACGATATAATATAAAAATATGTAAACCTTCCTAGTTGGCGCCCTCTTCTTTTATATATATATATATATTTATTAATAGTACATATATATAAATATATCTATTTATAGGGTGGGTAAGATGCCATAGTTTACATTTTGTGATGCTTCATGAACTTAAAAAAAAAACACTCACGTGCTAGTGGGTCTGTTATTGAAATTCCTATTATCTAAGAACATTTCAAATGTTTTATATTTTGTTAATAACGACAAATATAACTTCCATATTATTTTATTTCTCCCTCTCTTTAAGTTTCACCAACTCATGTACCTTCTATAGACAGTTTTTAAACATTCATATTTTGTTTGCTTGATCTCTAGATCGCTTCTGACCACTGCATGTAATAGAGGCAACTGTACAGAATATAATCACTTATAAACAACGACAAAAAAACAAGTAAAACAAAGTCACATGGCAACCCCTACAAGGTTTCATGTTATTTCTGATTGCATCAGATGCCTTAGAAAAAAGCCCTTTCCTGACCGGTTCAACATACCAGATGTACAGGATTCCAATCCTGCCACTCAAAGGTTTCGTCTGGCATTTTGATAGGAACACATAATTTTTCTGCACATGCTTGAAACCTTTGTAATGCCAGAACTAAGAGGAATTGTTCTACATCCAGTTGATTTGGTTGCATAATTAGATTACCAAACCCATTCGTTCATAAATAAGTTTAGTAAATTAAAAAGAAAAATTGATGTTTGTAGTCACAGTAAGATAAAAAACGCGTCTTAACGTCGTCGTCGTTTCTCGAGCTAACATTTGTTGTGTCAAAGGTGAGTGTTATAGTTGCTGTTTCATTAGGTTAAAACAAGTCTCAGGTATACCAGCTTCAGCCCGGTTAGGAAATAAATAAACGGTAATGAGAAGGTAGAAACTTCTTGTATCTTATGAAGAGTGAGCTACTTTAATGGTTAAGTATTTGCTTGTCATTCAGAAATATATAAATAATGTTTCAACTTTTTTCAGTAATAATTTATGTTTCTAAGTGAACGTGACTTACAACTCAATTTTATAGTAAAAAAAGGATAAAGGAAAATACTATAATAACACTCACAAATCTTTTGACATTAAAAGTTTAATAAACCAGTTTTATTTCCGAATATAAACCTTTTTTTATTTTTTTTGCCCCTCGAGTCTCGAGAGTAGCGCCCTCCCTCGGAGTAGTGAGTTTTATATAAGGCCTGAGATCGATGTCAACCGACACCAAGGATTCATTGGGTATTGCTAAAATGGACAAGGACATGTTGAAGAAACAGATAGAAAATATGCGTTATCAAGCGCAGATGGAGAGGTGGCCATTGTCAAAATCGATTCAAGCGTGAGTATTGTTCAGTTATGAAATAGATTTTATATCTTAAAATTGTTGTTTTGTCAAAACAAAAACGAATTACCTACAGAGCGTGCATGATACAGTTACGAGTACTACTACAGTGTAAGTACTGGTACAGTGTCGGTGTAAACAAAAAATGGTTACGTTGTTGTGTTTGACTTGCGAGCGACCTCGGAACCGTGACGGCAAGCGAAATCAAATATTTAGGCCTATCTTGCACTATTAAAATAAATAGGTTTACGTTGTTTTTGATGGAATAATGAAACTAAAAAGTGTAGGGATTAAATGACGAAATCACACTGTAGATTGGCAGTTTTGGATGAATTTAATTTTGTTTTTTTGCTATTACTATGTTGGGATTGATTACTAAACCTAATACAGCAAAGATAACCATATACAAACTTGTTCCTATTTTATTCAAATAGTAAGGAGTCATTTGATATAACATCCTCGTGGATTTGGAGTTTACACTTGTTAGTTCAAATTTGATTTTAGGGAACTAAATAGGCTTATGTTTTAAAGACATTGTTAGCTTTTTCGTGTTTTTTTTACCTTTGATTCTAAGTTTCCCAGCAGTACTCGAGTTATCATGCAAGAAAATGTGATTTACAGGCGAATATTTATATAATCTTTGAACCTTGTGGGGCTAAACATGATATTATAAACTTAGGTTGAAGTATTTTTTGACATTTTTTTTCATTAAAAATTAAACACTAACAGAAAACACTGCCCAAAAGAAAAATTCCATCAGTACTCGAAGTTTTAATGCTAGGTACTCTTTTTCACAATCACAAATTTAATTAAATGTTCGCTGTAGATCATAATTAAATAGAATATTCAACTGATCATCTGAATACTATAATCGCCCTCCAGGCGCATAAAAGATATGTATATCGAAGCTGCTTAAAAACCGTTTTATTTAAAGTTCAAATTATTTTAGTCTTACAAATAAATCTCATTGCCTACGACGGGATTTATTTATAAGACTTAAGGAGGAAAAATCTTAAGATGATAATTCCTGCCCATGAAAAACTTCTAATGTCACAATGTTTTATGAAGGAAACCTAGCATATTAGCCCCATAGTATACCCTGTCCTCAGATTTCATAATTAAATGAAATAAGTAAATTTTGCGAAATCAAGTTTGACCAACAAAGATGCAGAAAAGTGCAGTCGAGGCTGTCGAACGTCGGTAAATTTCTTTGTGAGCCAATCAAAATTAAGATCATTCATGAAATGAGTTCGTGACGTATTCATGGAATAATTATTGATAACAATCAGTTAGATTAATAACAAAAAATATATAAAAGCCAGTGTGTTTTGGTTACACTACGTTCAAACAATGGCTTTTATGTCATGTTGCTTGGTATCAAAAGTATAACCTAATATTGTTGTTAGTCTATGTACTGAAAGTATAAAATGAATTGTATAGACAACAAAACTGGAAAAATATTTGTTGATTTCTTAATTTAAAGTCTCCGTTGATTAAAAGAGGTTTGTTTTTTATTATAAATGTGGGTGATATAGCAGAAAATAGCTTAATTCAGAAAGATTTAAGTTTAACACTGAATCGTTATTTTTACTTTCATGATAAATTTTATGCACATAGCTCTTGGTTAGGTGATCACACACTACGTCTTTACTTTAGGCTTATTATACCAACACTTACTACACTTATAAGGTTTCATGACACACTCACACACACCCTCATAGCCCCTTTCACCCCGTCACTAAAATCGTAATGTGCAGATAGTAATCGAACTATTCTATCCTGATAAATGCATTTTGGCTTTTATGACTCCTATTTCGAGAAATCAAGCGTGACGTGGCACACACTGGCTTTTATTTATGTTAGATTCCTTGGCTAATGCTTTTGTACTATAAAAAACAAACCTGTAACATGATAAATTTACAGGATGAAAGTAACCTAATGTGATTTCTTATTTTTCACTATAGATATTTTCTGAAACGATTATTTCTTTTTATCATTGAAAATTATAAGTTAATAAAACATTATGGTGAACATGCGACGAAACTATGCATCAAGGTTTGATTTCTTCAAATATATTATTGTTAACAGAGTGATAACTATAAGTTAATGAACATGTAACGATGTAGTTTATTAAGGTTTGATTTCTTCAAATACATTATTGTTAACAGAGTGATAACTATAAGTTAATGAACATGTAACGATGTAGTTTATTAAGGTTTGATTTCTTCAAATACATTATTGTTAACAGAGTGATAACTATAAGTTAATGAACATGTAACGATGTAGTTTATTAAGGTTTGACTTCTTTAGGC